ATAAAGCTGTCTCAAGTGCTTTGCCCATTTCAATAATGGCACTAGTTGCTACCTTGATGTTGTGCAATCACAGTATTGAAGCAGGAGCGTTCACAAGCCAACTTGGCTCATACCCATCACTGGCCTAGTATGGAGAAGCCTGCTGCTGTGGACTCTCAACAACACAGCTGTTACTCAGCAGTCTGGTCAGTGGCAGGCGAACTGTGTGAAACAGACATCGCACGTGGAGAACGTTTCCTTTCAAAAGCAGCTACAGCGGTTAGCTTTCAGGCCCCTTCATGGCCTAGCTTAACTGTGATTGGGGCTGAAACACCTTAGTATCACCATGGTATCTGAGTGCTGAGCAGCTATGGAAAGCAACAAGAGGGAGATGATGCCCGTATCTGCCTCTTTGTGCCTTCCCACAGTGTCTCTGTTTAGTGTGAATAGTTATAGTTTATGTACCTTGACACTTCTTGCATTGAGGGTGAGGTGAGACGATTAACAAGTGCCAGTCCACTGGGGTATTGTGTGCACGGGCAGAACTTGGACCCCTCACCAGCAGCTCTGATTGCTTCCTAGTTTTCCTTAAAGGCTGCTTATACCTGTCATCCTGACCGTGAGAGCTGTCAGTCTGTGTTTCAAAGGAGCTACAAATTTGGGGGGGGAGGGGGAGAGAGTTCTTTTTGTTTTGTTTTTTCTATTTAAACCTCCAGGAAGGCTCAGCCCAGTGGTGAAAGTAACTTAAATTTTCTTACAGGCATTGTCCTATTGCAACCCAGGTCCCTGCCGGCTTTTTCCCACGGCTCAGCGAGCTCTTGCCAGAGCTGCGCACCCACTTACTTTCACCTCTGGCTCAGCCTCTATCTTTTCTTCAACCAGCTGAGGGCATTTTAAGGGAGCAGGTCTTCCCAAAAAATTTGCACTGACAGATCCCAGCATTCCTTACAAAAGGTGAAATCCTGGCTCTGCTGCATTCATAGGTGTCCTGCCATTGAGGTGATGGCCTAGATTTCTCTTGTTGTCTGGCAGGGTGTGAGAGAGAATTAAATGTAGATTTTTGTATTGTACTGTTTGATATTTGGTTAATTACTGCTCTCTCTCACGTGATGGCATAAATGGGCTGCTTCTCTCGGGGATTGTGAGCTGACATTGCTCCGGCTACAAACAATCCTTTCAGCAAATTGGAAGACCTGGAAGGTTTTCATTAAGACCAGATCTACACTTCACCCGGCAGCTCAGCGTAAGGTATGCAACTCCAGCTATATAGAATATGTAGCTAGAGTAGTCTTACCTTAAGCCAAGCTTGGCAATGTCCCCATAGCAGGAGGCCAATGGGAACAAATGCTCCTGTTGGCTTCCCTTACTCAGGGCAAGGGCAGGAGTACTGGATGCTGGGCAAAGTGCCCTCTGAGTTCAATTTAGCAAGTCTTAACCAGACTCACTAAATCGAACTCCAGAAGATCAATCGAGGGAGTGTCTATTTTGCCATGGAGTGAAGATGTGGCCTAACGGGAGTGAGATCTGTTTCTTATTGAAGAAACCAGGCCTTGATCCAAAAATCAACAGGAGACTTTCCAAAGGCTTTCAATGGGCTTTGGCGCCAGCTGCTAATATTAAAGGTATAAGAATATTTGAAAGTCTCCTTCCATGTTGATTTAAGAAATGTTTCATAGAATTGTAATTAAGGTGACACTATGTTCTGTTCTAACACCAGGTCAGTTTTCATACTTTGTGCCCATGTTTTGTTCATATGCTGGGTAATGCAAACATTTCAGCTCCTGCTGTGAATGAAACTCTGTTCACATTTCTCTTTCAGCCTGTGCTGATACATAGATAAGAGAACCCCTCCCTCTTGTCCATGTAAATAAAATGACATTCCATAGCCTGTCAGCAGATGGAAATTGTTTATTGTGTCATAGCACCATTACACACACTGCAAACAGCCAAATGCATCTTGCTGTTTAGAGCACGTACAAGATAGCTTAGCGGGGCACTCAACACGCTAAGTGGTTTGGCTAAAAGAAAGTCCTTCCTAGTGAAGCTCTCTTGGGCAGGCCCAGTTATTTGTCCAAGATGCTCTGAAATAAGACAAACAGTGAGTAACATCAGAGCTGCAGCCTCTATTGCAAGGAAGCAAAAAAACTTGACATAGAAGCAGCCAAATTCTGGGAGTATTTGGCCGTCTGGAGTTTCAGTTCAGAACCCCATTTGATTAGGGGAAAAAAAACAAACATTGTTTTATCAGACAACCAGAGCAACCCTAGGGTATGTGAGAAGTATACAGTCCCTGGAGCACTACTTCACTCAACAACAGGGCAAAACTAAGTTGGGAGGGGTTGTAAGCAGTGTTCCCTGTAAGCTAAGTGCTTGGGCAGCTGCCCAGGAGGGATTCAGGTGCTGCCCATCTAATTGGCAGAGCACTCACAGCTGACAGCATACTTCTATTGGTGGTGCACATCTGCATGTTCCTTGGCGCACATAACAAAATATATTCCACATGTGGATGCAACAACTTAGAGAACATTGGTTGAATTATAACCCTATCCTGAAAAGCACTTGCAAAGTGAGCTGGAGAAATGGTATGAAGTAAATAGAATGAAATTCTATAAGGACAAACGGAAAGTACTCCACTTAAGAAGGAACAATTAGTTGCACACATACAGAATGGAAAGCGACTGTCTACGAAGGGGGACTGCAGAAAAGGATCTGGGGGTCATAGTGGACCACAAGCAAAATATAAGTCAATAGCGTGATACTGTTAAATTTTTAAAAAAGCAAACGTTGTTGATGTATTTACAGGAGTGTTGTAAGCAAGACACAAGAAATAATTCTGCTATATTCTGCACTGATTAGGCCTCAACTGGAATGCTGTGTCCAGTTCTGGGGGCCACATTTCAGGAATCAAATTGGAAAGAGTCCAGAGAAGAGCAACAAAAATGATTAAAGGTCTAGAAAACACAAGCTGTGAGGAGATTGAAAGAACTGGGTTCATTTAGTCTAGAAAAGAGAAGGCAAGGGAGACACGATAGCCTTTTTCAAGTATTTGGAAGTTGTTACAAGGAAGAGTGAGAAAAATTATTCTCCTGTTGCTAGGACAAGAAGCAATGGCAATGGGTTTAAATTGCAGCAAGGTTGGGAAAACTTCTTTCTAGGCTGGTTAACCACTGAAATAAATTGCTGTGGAATCTCCATCATTGGAGATTTTTAAGACCAGGTTAGACAAACACCTCTCAGGCATGGCCTACATCGGGTGCCTGGTCCTGCCAGGAGTACACTTGATCTCTCAAGGTCCCTTCCAGTTCTAGTATTCTATGAAAATCATTAGAATAAAATCAAAGCAGCCAAACCTCAGCCTGTCTCTAGGGCTACGTCTACACTGCCACCCTAGTTCGAACTAGGGTGGCTAATGTAGGCATTCGAAGTTGCAAATGAAGCCCGGGATATTTAAATCCCGGGCTTCATTTGCATCTTGCCGGGCCCCGCCATTTTTAAATCCCCGTTAGTGCGGACTCCGTGCCCGTGGCTACATGCAGCACGGAGTAAGTAGTTCGAATTAGGCTCTCTAATGGGACCTACCGATACGCCTCGTGGAACAAGGAGAGAGCCTAATTTGAACTACGTACTCCGTGTCACGTGCACAGAGTCCGCACTAACAGGGATTTAAAAATGGCGGTGCCCGGCAAGATGCCAATGAAGCCCGGGATATTTAAATCCCGGGCTTCATTTGCATCTTGCCGGGCCCCGCCATTTTTAAATCCCCGTTAGTGCGGACTCCGTGCCCGTGGCTACATGCAGCACGGAGTAAGTAGTTCGAATTAGGCTCTCTAATGGGACCTACCGATACGCCTCGTGGAACAAGGAGAGAGCCTAATTTGAACTACGTACTCCGTGTCACGTGCACAGAGTCCGCACTAACAGGGATTTAAAAATGGCGGTGCCCGGCAAGATGCCAATGAAGCCCGGGATATTTAAATCCCGGGCTTCATTTGCATCTTGCCGGGCCCCGCCATTTTTAAATCCCCGTTAGTGCGGACTCCGTGCCCGTGGCTACATGCAGCACGGAGTAAGTAGTTCGAATTAGGCTCTCTAATTCGAACTACCGATACGCCTCGTGGAACAAGGAGAGAGCCTAATTTGAACTACGTACTCCGTGTCACGTGCACAGAGTCCGCACTAACAGGGATTTAAAAATGGCGGTGCCCGGCAAGATGCAAATGAAGCCCGGGATATTTAAATCCTGGGCTTCATTTGCAACTTTGAATGCCTACATTAGCCACCCTAATTCGAGCTAGGGTGGCAGTATAGACATACCCTAAGGTGCTGTGCATAGCTCAGCGTTTCCCTCTTCCAAGTGAAAAATCCAGTCAGGAGAGGGGTGGGTGGGTTGCTGCTTCCATGTGCCAGAACCAAACACAAGGTCAAGCCACATTACCTGGTGATTGACGTGGATGCTGCTAGGGCCGAAAGTTGTAGTCCCATAGCTAGTGACATAATAGCGAGCAGGAGGCGGGGGCTGTGGAACCTGCAGGTCGCTGGGAACTGTAAGGAAAGAGAAGGAGACATCAGCCCCCCAGGCCACAGACCTGGAGGAAACCCCAGCACAGCACCCCACTGGCACCTTCACTCCTCACAACGGAGGCAAGCCTCAGCCGGGGCCAATGGGCACCGGTCCATTGATTTCAGCGTAGCGAGGACAGCTTCTACCAGCTGTAGATCTGTGCAGAACATGTGAGGCGGAGAAGCAGGGACACATGCTGCTCATAAGGGAACAGCCAGGGACCAGCAAGAGCTGGCTGCCTAGTCACAGTGGGGAAAACATTACTGAGAAAAACTGGGAGTTTATTAGCAGCAGCTCTTAACAATGGGAAGCTGCCCGCAAACGACAGATTGTAGAACACTGTATTGTCAGGCCTTTCACAGGTCAGGAAACTACAGAAAAATAGGCGTCCCGGTTCCCAGGCCATGTGTTTGTTGTAACCAGTGGCCCATGATTATCTGATGACTGTCATGTTCTTAGAAGGTGCCACTGAGTTAGGCAAACACTGTGAATGACAGTTCCTGCCCCAAACAACTTTCCATCACCATAGACTAGACACACCCAGGAAGTATTAGCATCTCAGTGTACAGATGGGGAAGCACAGCACAGAAAGATGACTCAGGGTATGTCTACACAGGGATTAAATACACATACACATGCACAAACACAAAGAGCAGCTGGCTCCAGGGCTAAAAATTGCCAGGTAGAGATTTGGGCTTAGGCTAGAACCCCAACACTGGGACCATGTGATGGGGAAGTGTCCCAAAGCTCCAGCCTCAATGTTTACACAGCAACTTTTAGCCCCACAGCCCAAGACCCATGAGCCTAGGCCAGCCACGACAAATGCTCCCTTTAATCCTTCCCATCCATGTGCACTGAAACATGTGCAAATGTGACCTCCAATAGCAACACAAAACCTAGCTGTGGGCACCCTGCTATTCAGCCGGGCAGCATCTGTATTTCTCCTGAGCAGCTGCACAAGCACACAACTTACAGGGACTGCTGGCCACGATCAGCCATAGGGCAAAATTTTAATCTCTGTGCGGACATCCCCTTAAGGCAGGGGTGTCCAAACTTTTTTCAAAGAGGGCCAGATTTGAAGAAGTGAACATGCGTGAGGGCCGTCCCCGCACTCTCAGCCCCAAGGCGGAGGGCCCGCAGGGTCGGAGGCGGGCGGAGAGCGCAGGGCACGCCGGCCTCACGGCGGCCCCGGGGGCAGGGCAAACCCGCAGCCGAGCGGGGGAGCAGGGCTGTGGACGTGCCCTACAGGGCAGGCTCTAGGACCGCGGAGGCTATGGGCGGCGGCGGCGCGGCTGGAAGCGGCGCGCTGGACGCGCCAGTTCAAAAGAGCGCCGGGGAGCCAGGAGAGGGGGAGGAAGCGGGGGCCGTATTAAATCGGAACACGGGCCGCAATTGGCCCGCGGGCCGGACTTTGGACATGCCTGCCTTAAGGGCTGCTTGTCCAAGGATACACAGGAAATCATTCCGCCTTCATCCTGTGGGTTCAACGGGCCTCCACATCATAGCGGGATTGCAGCCTTCTCCCCTTACCTTTGGGTAAAAGCAGCTCGGTTCGAAACCGATGGCCACACGTTCCACACGTTTTAATTTCTTCCTTCGTTCTTAAAATAAAAACAGAGCGAGAGGAAAAGAAACAAGCTAATTAACAAGAGCCATTCCACACCCCCGCAGCCAGGCAAGACGCTTTAGGGTTCAAAACGAGCCATTTCAGAACTGCTCTTTCTAGAATGTCATGGACCAAGGCAGAAAATGTTCCTCGGGCTCTAAAGGAAGGTTGGCACTAGCCTGGGAGATCCGGGCTTTCATTCCCAGCTCTGCTCTGGGCTTCCTCAGAGACCTTTGCCAAGCCACAGAAAACCAAGGGTACGTAAATGGAGCCCTTTGAGATGAGCCTGGCATAGTTCCACTTGAGGGGGCAAGATGCCATGCCAAAGCCAGTGGCAGTAGGGGAGTGGGACTACGCAGAGATCACATCAAGGAGGACGACATGTTTTCACAGCGAGGTGCTTAAATACAGATATTGGGTCCCATTTCCAAAAGGGCTCAGTGTTGGCCTAATTCTGTTCCTATTGACGTCATCATCAACCTCAAGAGGAGCAGAGTGAGGCCGCACTCTGTGCGTGTGAAACATCCCATCTTCAACCCTCATTTAGACGCCACAATCAAAGCAGATCAATTTTCAGAAGCACTCAACTCCTGGGGTATGTCTACACTACATGGCTCCGTCGACGGAGCCATGTAGATTTGTTTATTGGGCCAAAGGAAATGAAGCGGCGATTATTTAAATCGCCGCTTCATTTCCTTTGGCCCAATAAACAAATCTACATGGCTCCGTCGACGGAGCCATGTAGATTTGTTTATTGGGCCAAAGGAAATGAAGCGGCGATTATTTAAATCGCCGCTTCATTTCCTTTGGCCCAATAAACAAATCTACATGGCTCCGTCGACGGAGCCATGTAGATTTGTTTATTGGGCCAAAGGAAATGAAGCGGCGATTATTTAAATCGCCGCTTCATTTCCCTTTGCCTACAGCCCTAATTTACATGGCTCCGTCGATGGAGCCATGTAGTCTAGACACAGCCTAGGTGACATCAAGGAGACTTCAGAGCCACTCAGCCCCTGTGAAAGCCAGTCTGCTTTGCTCTGGATGTCTAAATCAGGATTTAAGGCCTGATTCAACAAGAAGTCCGTGCAGAATTCTTTAGCCGTCTGGGGCAGGGAGCGTCTGTTTTGTGTGACTATAGCTTCTTGCACAATGGGCCCACTACAGGCTGCTAGGAGTACTGCAGTACAAATAGTACATTCAAGCGTGCATTTAGGTGCTGCTGTTTAAGCGCTGAATGCTGGGCACTCAAAATTTGAAAACTATGTCCTTAGCCTCTTGATGCTTCTGCAGAACAAGTTTAGTCATTATTTGCTTCACTGGTATGTGATGAGGATTCAGATCTTTATAACATGACTTGCCCGGCTCTGACGGAAGGCATCATAAACAAGCAATGTGTGTGTGGTTTTAGAGAGGATCGCCATTTCAATTGTGGTCACATTCAGACCTCCATCACAGGGATTCCTGGAGGAAAAACAAGTTACAGGCCATACGTACACCGTGTTTTTGTCATCCACATCTGGCCAGACAAATTCTGCAGGACATCCCTCTGTTCGACAAGGCGCCTTCATGCACATATGGAGACCAGGCCACTCCTCAGAGAGCTTCCGGGTGATGAAGATGATCGCCATTATGAAATCCCACGTCAACTGAAATTCTGTAGATGAATAAGGGAAAGAATGGGCTGTTATACATCAGCCACCTGGACTGAGTTAGCCACCCTAGACCACAATTGGTAACAGAGTTACTTGTTTTCGGGGTTATGGGCATACAGCTGCACCAGCTGGGTTCTTTCCAGTTAATCCAGATTCAGCACCCGTTAGGAGCAAACTGAACTGAAGAACAATCCCCAAAAGCCAGATTGTGCCTTTCTTTGCTTACTTGTGTTGTCGTAACACCAAGCAGCCTCAGGCAGGACCTGGAATTCCATGGTGTTCTACATAAATGGGTTGTATGAACAAGACAAAAAGATGGTCCTGGCTCTACAGATCCTATGATCTCAAACTTGCAATTAAAACATTTTTCTGCTTGTATTCCCATTATGGAATGTGAAATTCTTCTTTCTGCTTGAGCATCAGAAAACTGGTAAGACTCCGGCACCAAGACACTGAGCAATTTGGGTGGGAGGAAAGGTTTCAAAACTCTGGTAGGAGGGGATAGTGGCACTAAATCAACATCTGTGTAACTCAAACATCAAGAAAAAGAGCTCTCTGTGACAGCATCAACCTCACTCTCTCCTTTGCAGGTGGAGAAAACCCCTTCTCCAACCCTTCATCAAGAACAGAGAAAATGAGATTTGAGGATATCGTGCCTCATACCAAAATAAAAATTAAATGAAAGGGGCCGAAAGTTTACTTGAAAGTTTGAAAAATCTCCATCGGATCTTAAAATGGGGACTCAGACCCATCTCTGGAAGTTTATTTTGAGAGGCAGCAGTGCAGGGGAGGGGCGTGTATCAGCTCACGTGAGCCGATACACGCGGGGAGCTGGCTTGAAAGCCGACTTCACCCGTGTACCGGCTCCCACTCCCCCAACCCTTACTGCCTCTGATAAGAAGCCTGCAAGTTCTATTAAGGGAGGTTTCCCCAGGCTACAGAGAGAAACTTCCATGGAACAGGCCAGGCCAGGGGAAGTCAGATGGCTTCCTGTAGCCTGTGACCCTTCAGAGAGTTCACTCCTTGGAAACACAACCAATCTGTGAATAACCAAGTGCCAGGAAGGGGCGAGGGGGAGGGAATCATGCTTTACAATGTACATGCACTGGCCATACCCTGAAGGTCCCCCGCATGCAAACACAGGGGCCAGCTTGTTTCAGGCAGTTTGGATGCAGTGCAAGGTAGCAGATGGCAAGTAGGGATGTAAAAGGTTAAACAGTTAACCGGTTACCCAGTAAGAATGCTTACTAGGTAACCGCCTACGCATTATGCTGGGCAGTGGGAACCCAGACAGGTCAGGGCAGCAGGCAGGGCTGCAGCAGCCCCGGCTGGGAGCAAGTGGGACCCTGACCCACACGCCCCTGGCCATGCCTGCAGCAGCAACCCCAAAAGCTCCTGCCCCAGTAGTCCTGGCCACCCCAAGTGTAGGCAGGTGGGATCCTAGCTCCAGCCACGCTGCACCGACCCTGGACCACAGCCTGGGTGGGGACAAGCAGGACCCCGGCCTGGGACTCCAGCAGCAGCCCTGGGACTCCAGCCATGCCTCTCCACAGCCCCATGAGACCTCCCGCCTGGGCTGTCCTACACCCCCCCAGCCCACTGACAGTTAACTGGCTAATTGATATAATTTTAACCGTTGAACTGTTTTAAACGATATTTACATCCCTAATGGCAAGTGGACAGCTACCCTCCACTCCCTGGGGATGCCCAGGAGAGAAATGGGTGCTGGGCCTCCCGTCTCACCTGTCCTTTGCACTGGCTTGCGGCCCCGGAGTTCGATATAACAATAGCCCTTCTGGTTGTTCTCTTTGATCAGCAGGGGTTTGCCACTGCATACGAGCAGGCACATGACCTTTGCAACCCAGTGGGCTGAGTAGAAGGAGCAAGCTTTCACCATGAGCCTGCAATGAGATTGGAGCGAGACCTCAGTCCAAAGATGCAGATGTTTCCGCCCTGCCATCTCCAGTAAGCCCCACCTCCTGCCACAGCCTATGTAGCCAACCCCAGGTGGGACAGCAATGGGACAGACTCAAAGACCTCTCATACTCTATTCAACTTGTGAGCATCCGCACGCATTACGAGAGCCGACTGAACTTTTCCACTCCACATGCAGAGTCAAGTTCCCAAACTTTTTGCACAAACGTTTCAGCTTCAATGAAATGTTCATCAGCAAAGGGCTTTGTGTCCAGGAGGGAATTTCTGGTCCATGTCAGACAAAATGCCCAGAATGGCCCAGAGCTCAGGGGTGAGGCAAGTCTGTACTAGCTGATTCAGAGCAGCATCCGGCATGTGGGGTCTCCAGATCCCGGGTCTGTGCCTTCATCACCACCGGCTAATCCGGAGTGGGAGGAACTTCTGTCTCTTTGCACAACATATTGTAAAAAGGTGTCAGGTTTGTTCTGCACCAGAACAAAATAAAAACCCCAAAACCTTGGAGGTTTCTTGCAACAACTGAAATGTTTCCTGGCCTGTTCTATTCATTAACTCCGTGATACTCAGCCCGAGGCTTGCAAGCCACAAATGGCTCTGTAATGCGTCTGCTATGGGTCTTTGCAGCATGTGCCATCAATCAGGAGGTTTTTACTATGCTATCAAATACAAATACTTGATCAGTCTTTTTACTGTAAGAGAGAGAGAGAGAGAGAGTGTGTGTGTGTGTGTTTTCTCCCTCTCCCTCTCATATATATATATAAAAAAAATTTTCCTGCAGGACAGAGTGACATCACCACATCATTTGCATCCTCATGCTGCCACCCACTTTCGTGCTCAGCCGCTTGCTGTGGCCAGCCTGGGCGCTGTCCCCTCAGGGCATGAGCTGCTCCAGCTCCAACTCCAGTGTCACACCCCTGGGGGCTGCGCAACCAGGAGGGACTGCAGTGGCTGGGTCCCACCATCCCTGACATACACATCCAGGACGCAGTGTGTCCCCTCTGCCATCCAAGCCCAAACCCCCACTCTCCTGAGCTGCACCGGGCCTCCTTCGCCATCCGAGCCCGACCCCCACCCCACCCTCCACTGCCATCTGAGCCCAACCCTTCCCCCAAGGCCACCCCATGTCCCCTCCACCATCTGAGCCCAATCCCTCTCCTCCCCTGTCACCCGAGCACCCAACGTGTGCCTACTTCTTCATTGCTATGTGCAGTGCTGGCATGCCCCAGGGGCAGTCTGCTGGCAGCACAATGCAGTCCCAGTCTGATCAGTCTCTCTTCACACACAACCTTTCTGGGGCTCTAATCATTTTCACTGCCTGGCTTGCAAATCTCTCCATGTCTGCTACATCTTTTTGAAGGCAGGGTGACCGAAAGTGAATGCTGCCAGTACTGTAGGTGAGGACAAACTCTCAACTTACAGAATGGCATGAAAATTAAGGTTCTCAATTAGCTGTCGTTAACTCAAGTGATTAATGCGAAACAAATTAGCTAGATTTCAAAAAACAGTGGGAGGCAGTGCCTGAGCTATGGTGCTAGGAGCCGCGCCAAAGAAAGTGGCCCCCAGACCCTGCACCCCCAGCTTCCAGCCCCCTCACTCATTACACTGCTGAGACCCTGCACCTCCACCCTGCTCACTCACCCACTCCGCTGAGACCCTGCACCCTATCCCTCTCACTCATACCCCCCGAGCTGACACCTCCAGCCCCCTCACCCCATCCGCTGGGACCCACAACCCCAGCCTGTTCCTGCTCCCTTCCCATAGCCTGCTCCTGCACCCTCCCCCTGCCCAGACACCTGTCCCCAGAGAGAGGGGGGTTGGCGAGCACAGTAAGCAGGGGCCACAGCCCCCTAGTTGTATATTACATTATATACAAAATTCCTAGTGTGTGTGTATATTTTTGTATATAATATTTAATGTACACACACACACACACACACACACACACACACACACACAATCTCTTTCTTGCCAACTTTTGATACCCTCTCAGCCCTGGGTAGGCCAGCAGCCTAAAGCGTCTCCCTAAAGTGACTAGTGGCCCCATGTATTAGACAGCCTGGGTGCTTGGTCCACATTGGGCAACACAGGCACACCCCCTAGTAGTAGTAAGGAAGGCTGGGTACGTGGTTCTGAGGTAGTGCCTCTGCCTCCTCCTCAACACTAGATGCAGAGAGACGACCCCAATGTGAACAAGCCACCTTGCCCACATGGATCGCTGGGGTACAAATCAATGCTCTAAAAACTGAATTGAAACTTGGTAGTGAATTTATAAACAAAACCGCTCTACCGCCAAAACAAGAGACTGCCCGCACGTCTCCCTTAGGGGAGAGGATGAAAGAGCAGACAGGTGCATAGTCAGGATGCTTAATGCACTCAGACACTCCCGTGATGTGCACAGCGATATAAAAACATTCAGAGTGGAATAGAATTAGCCATCCCTTCAAACACTGGAAACCCCAGACCCTGACTGCCTGTTAGGTCGGATTCATCACTTCTCGGGTTAATTATGAGCCAGGTCCTATGACATGTTGTGTCCAAACTCATCCCCGTGGCAGGTGAAGACTGGTGTTTGTGAGGGTTCAGAGATGAGCTGCCCTACAGGGCATAAGATCAACTGAGGTGCAGGAGGAAGGAAGCTCACAACTTCCTTGTATAGCAGTGACTTGGACTCTCAGCCTTGCTCTCCTGGCTGTCAGCAGGGAGCAGCCAGACTGGCAAACAGAGAGATTGGGTTTTCTGCTCTGCTAGCTTACAAACCACAGGCAGCAAGACTCTCAGAGGAAGGCGGTGACCCAGCAAGTGGCTCTGGACTATCGGCTCAGCAGGCTGAGAACAAGGTTTGCTCTCTCACCTGGGCAGCCAGAGTTTGGTTTTTGCTGCCCAAAAGGGAGGACCCCAGGAGCTCCAGCCAGGCAGAAGGTCTGCCCAGAGGAAGGGAAGGGTTTGGGTGTGCTCCCTCTGCCCCACGAGTCCTTGCACAGAACACATCTCCTCCAGCTGGCCATTTGTGAAAGAGAGCAGGGCTCAGCCAGTGGGATTATGAAAGTGTCCTCCCAACTTCCCTTCCATAATGCTCCTTGCAGTTACTTTGTTCAGATCTTCTCAAAGCACTAAGAGATGGCTTAGCAGACCCATAAGAGCTGGAGACCGGAACAGCGGGGAACCCATCTCCTAGCACAAATCACCACAGGCATGTGGTTTGCCCACTCCCAGCTCTTAAGGATTACTGGATAGAAATAAAGCCATAGGGGGCATGTCACCAGAATAAGGTACAATGACTGACATATGCAGCACCACTCAATACAAATGGGAAAGCTGAGGCATAAATCCCTGGGCGAACACAGCTCTTATTAATCATTTGTATGACAGTAGCACCTGCAGGCCTCAGCTGAGTTCATAACCTCCTTGGGCCAGGTGCAGGACACACCCAAAGAAATTCCACTCTGGGCAGACAGAGGGAGAATTCTTCTTCCCATTTCACAAATGGAGAACTGAGGCTCCAAGGGAGATGAAGAGAATTGCCCAAGGTCACACAGACTCTATGGCAGAGCTGGAATTGAACCCAGATTTCTGGAGAGCCACCCCAGGGCCTTAACCTCTAGGCCAACCTTCCTTTCAGGCACTATCACTGAATGTGCTTGTTTATACTAGTACCAGGCATGCACTTCCCAGACAGATAAGAAGGAATGACCCCTATGCTGGAGAACGGCCAGCTCAGGACATGCGGACAGGCAGCAGCAGATGGCCAAGGCAAGGGGGCTGCTCATTACCTTTGAAAGAAGCCCTCCGGGATCTCAGGTGAGAAGTAGGCCCGGATGTGGAGATCCTCCGGATGGTCTCCTCCCCATCTCTCAGAAACCTCCTTGCTCTGGTTGAGGTATGTGGGAAACAAGTAACAAGCCTCTCTGTGGTCCTGCACTGTTTCCCACGGCCTCCCTGGCACAAACTCCTTGGCCCCTGGGTTGAGGTTCTTGGCATTCCTCACTTCCAGGCAGATCTCAAAGTGCTCCAGCAGACTGAACAGCTTCCCCTTCTTGACCTTGTGCCCCACCATCTCCTCAAAGACGTCCTTCATCCCTTCCAAGTAGAGCTGGTGCTTGACCAAGGCTCGCATGGCCTGCTGGCACAGCATGGCCTTCGACTTGAATGTCCACACCCAATTGGACTGGTCTCTGATGGTGGCATGTTCTCCCACCAGCAGGTCCACGGAGATGTTCTCCAGCTGCTGTACAAGACGATCCCTTACAAGGATCTGAACGTGAAGAAACAAGAGGTCAGCACTCCCAGGAACATTACAGGGATGGATGCCGTTTTCCTTAGGTACTTAAATCACCCCTTCATATCTGAGAGCCTCGCAGTCTTTAATGTATCTGTCCCAAGAAGGGAGGGAAGTTATCTACTCCCCGTTTTATGCATGGCCACTGAAACACAGGAGACTAAGCATCTCATCCAAGGTCACAGGAGAAGCCCATAGACAAGCAGGCTGCGTCTAGATTGGCATGATTTTCTGGAAACGCTTTTAACGGAAAAGTTTTCCGTTAAAAGCATTTTCAGAACAGAGCGTCTAGATTGGCACGGACGCTTTTCCACAAAAGCACTTTTTGCGGAAAAGCGTCCG